GAAACACAGTAGTAACTCCTTGGTAATTTCTGTACTGTACTCAGCAACCGAGGTTCCAACAATGCATATTTTGATATTACACATTCAACCCCTTGGACCACTGTTTGGCCCATTTGAATCCTAAGTTAAAAAGAGGGCATGTTGGTATCTGTGGGTTTTAGCCAGTGAGAGCTAGGTATTTGGCAGTATTGTTATTAATTTTTATTACTACTATTATTATTACTTTAATATTACTATTATTATTATTATTAACTATAATTATTATTATTATTATTATTATTATTATTATTATTATTATAGGCAATTAGGAAGAAAAGCAAATTGGTTCTTACTGTACATGATGCAAGTCAATAAAGATATTTTTAATCACATATTTTTATATACCGTATCTGTTTTATTTCTTAGTTGTTTTTCTTAGTTCTTGTCTTGCTTTGAAAACATTAAATTAACAATATCGTTTAAACCATTAATGGGGATACGACTTAAAGCTAATTAATAGGCGAGTCCAATTAGCATATAGTCTCTTCCACAAATCAAATCAAATCATTTGTATACCATTGAAATAAACATTGAACACTGAACCACTGAACTATTGTGTTTTACCTATACACTGCTGTAGTTTGTAACAATATCTCCCCCCTGACCTGTTGACCTATTTGTATAATGTAGGTCAGGTATTTGATGTGAGGAAAGACTATAAGCTTTCAATGCACTTGAGATTGGAAATCTGTATTCAATTGTATTCTATACTGTATTGTGTTTCGTATAATAAACACTACATGTTTATCAGTATATTAAATTGTTTGCCAATTAATCAATCAATCAATCTATCAAATTTAAGCACATTTTACAAGACCTCTGTACAAAGATATTTTTTTTTTTTTTTTTGCTTTGGTGATGATGATGTGATATTACTATTATTTATGAAATCATATTTAAATTTGTCATAATTTTTTAAGGAGCACAAAGAACAGATATTTGGCCTGCCTATCCTTAAATTTTATATTTGTATTGAGTATGAATTTTCAGCAATTTATATAATTAAGCTCCACAGAAAAAAACATAACAAAGACAAAGAAAGAGGGAGGCTGGTGTGTGGGGGAGGGGGAGGCAAAAAATTGCACAAAAACTACTAACACCGGAAATGGTGTGCCCACCCAACTAGAACTTCCAAAACATTCGACAAGTATACAAATAGTTATAAAAATAGACACAAGATTATTATTATTATTATCAAATATCGGCCTAACTAATAATTAAGAAAAATATTTAAAAAAATATTGCAATTATTGCCCAAAGCAGTTTTTTTTAAATCACTATCATATTTAAACTTAACAAATTAACCACAATTATAATAAAAAAATTATTATTACTTTACTATTTACAGTATATTGTTATTTTTTAATTTATTTAATTTAAAAAGCATAGGCCTAAATTTTAGAAGTTTAAGAAGTAAAAAGCAAACAAAATAGTAAAAAAATCAATCTATTTGATATCAATTTAAGAAAGTGTACCGGTATTGTATTAAACCACGGATTGGATAAACCAGTGTTTATCTTCCCATAACACAAGAACCAAGAATAATTCGCATATTGAAAGACCTCCATTGCTTTATTATCTAAAACCACTCACCCGTTCTTTCTCTAAAGCCTCTTCAAAGAGCATGCGGTTTTGGCGGGCTTTGTGAGAGCTAGACAGTACCCCTAGATCTTTGAGCTCAATGGGCTCTTTGTAGCCTTTCCTAAACAACCAGTTCAGCCACCAGTAGGTCGCTGATGACATAAGATTGCAGTAGCCTTGCATGAAGAACATATTTTCTTTCTTAAGATCATCTGGCAACTCATCGTCGCTGGAGGAACAGGATAGAGCCTGCCAAAAAATACATACAGAAATATTAATGGAACAATTTGTGTAGCCATATGATATTTGTGAATAGCACTTGATAGACTAAAAAACTTGTAATGCTGTAACTGTATTATCGATAATACCGTACTTTAAACCATGCACAATGGATGTAAACTTAAAAAACGAGCAGCAACAACGAATAACTAAAATCCTAGCTCACATTGCCTGAGAAATGTTCATAACATCTACGGAAGTTCACATTAAGCTTGCATGGATTTTGTTTGTCTTATTATCGATAATAGTTCACAAAAAACCAGATGACTACTATTCAAATATTTATTAAGTTTTCACAGTCACATAAAAGCTCCTAAATTTTAAATAAAGTTTGTCAAGCTTTTATTAAGTACTTATTAATACACATTCATTACAAATCGAATATTAAAGGCAACAGAAATTCTTTATTCACAACTGCATCCTTTACACAGCTGGATTGCACACTTTAAAATAAATGTGATATAAACTGAAAATAATTTTTAGCATTTTTATTATTTTATTACGGTACAATACATAGTAGCTAAATTGTTTTTTTTTTAAATAAATATGAATGCAGTTCTTGTTTTCTGTGATTACATGTCTCCATCTACTGTAATTCAAAACCCCTCCAATTAACCACTTTTCTGTGGAACCAAATTAACAATGTATTATTATTCTATATTAGAGACCAAAGCTGCTAAATACCATGGGAACACTTTCTCAAAAGTTGTCTTTAATTTGAAGGGAGACCTGTTAAATCCTAGACTACAGACTGATTTCCCAGGAAACATACAGTTTTAGTAAAAAGTAGTTAAGCATAAGAATGAAACAATAATTAATATAATTTTTAATATATTTATACAGTCAAGCATGAGAGATTCCACCCCCAGGACAAACATTTAAAAAGTCAGACAATCCACGAATTGCTTTGTTTGTTACCCTTGGACAATCACTTTTTTTTTTATGAATCATGCGTATGGTTTGGCCTAGAATATAGCCTACTGTTTCTTATTGATATTTTGTAAATATTAACAAATTACTGTACATCAATAAAATGAACAAAAAAAAGATATTTTTGGGTGGAATTTATCCTTGCGTGTTTTGGTTATTGTTTACCTCAATAAGCGCTTGGAAATTTGAGCGTACGTTCTTCACTTTTTTTACTTGATGAGACACGATTTACGTGGGCATTCCACCACAGATATTTTATGGGTTATTGTAAATGTTGTGTGGTAAGTACTATATAAATATTGAAAATTACGACTGAATTTTATCCAGATGTAATGTGCGAAATAGCAAATTAATCAATACAGGCTGCCCTCTACTATATTAGTAACAATTGCATTGGTGGTGACAGTCTGTATGTATTACAAACACTTTTATATGCAACACTTTTGTTAGTTTTAACTTTATGTGCATTAATTGGATATTAAACATTCAACACGAGCAATGTAGTGTTCTCTTGGCAAATAAAAGATAATACTGAACATGTGTAAATGACGTTTTATATGACGAATACATTCATGCTAGAGATCAATGGGCCCTAAGATCATTATGCAATCAAGGAGCAGCGTGACAGACAGATCAAAAAGTTGACTTTTGATAGAGACGCCTTCGTGGTTTCTAAGGACGTCTTTGTCTCTAAGGACAACCCAGTTTCTTTTTGAGTGGTTGTCCACTTTACCTGAAATCCTTCATGCCTGACTGTACTTGAATAAATACTCATTGAAGAAAATTTTACATACCTTTGATATGACAATTAACTCTAGCAAAATGTACAATGATGTAAACACGATGCTAATTAAAATCAAATCGTAACGCAGAAAAGAGAATTCTTTCCATTCCTCATCAATGGCGTTCATCAACGTCAGTACGTCACACGTCAGATTGAAAGACCAATAGAAAAGGAGTAGAAACGACATGGAGGGCTTGTTCCAATATTCAACATGGTGGTAATACGAAATATACAAAATCACCGCGATAAGACTTGCGCAGGCCGGAATATACAGGTACGGTTCTGTGTTGAAATTCCTGCGTACCGAAACATCCGTGATAATGCCCTCGCCAACCTTAGCTAACTGAAGTAGTACCATCAGTATATTGAGGAGCCATCTTGGTATATGTCCCGGAAGTGGGATAATGTAACGATGGCTGAGCCTTTTAAGTTGTGTAAAACATGTAAGAATAAATAGAATGAGGGATACGAGAAGAATAAAGAGAACGCTTATACCGGTGGAAATCAGACCAATGAAACACGCATTATCTATTGTGTGATTTTTGTTCCACTTGAAGTGTTGTAAAGAGATGTTGGCATCTTTCCCACAAAACCAGTTGAATTCCTCAATGGCGTACATTATGAAACATTGGTTCGATGTCCAAAACTACGGACAGAAAAAAGGCCTGGAATAAAAAAAGAAAAAAAAAACATATAAATTTTTAATAATAACATTATTTTAAAATAAACTCTACATTTTCAGACTTTTTATAATTCTAAATTTAGATTAAATTCTGAAAGTAGAGTTTCAAATTCAATAAGATTCATTTTGTTTTTCTCCTTGAGCAAGGCACTTTTATTACTTCATTTGTATATCTCTCCAACAACGAATGTTTCTTTCACCACAACAAAAATTTCATTCAATCTAATTCATTGTCAAGTCGAATCCAAAATGCCATTGAGAAATTGTTTTGACTTGGATAAAATTTGACTGTCCACATTGTTAAAAATGGCAAACACAACAATCTAGTTAAGCAAAGTCGCAAGTTTAACTGTAGTTTCAAACCCTTCCTGCAATGTAACAAGCTACAGAGCTTATAACAATTTATACTTTAATGATTTATATGATATATTTTTTTTTCTGTGCAATTTTTATTAATGCAATTATTTGTTTCAGATCTGTATTCCATTTTTGGACAATTTACTAAACAACTGAACTAAAATTATATAATGGTATTTTATTCAAAATTTATAAAAAGCATACAAAATGGCAGCCAAAAAGGCTGAATTACGAATTATATTGTTACATCAAAACAGGAAATTTTAAAAATAAAGATTTATATAAAATTGTTTAGATAAAAAACAAGAGAAAACTACAGAATTATAAATAAATAATTACCATAGCAATCTTTGTTTTTTTTTATAATTATTATATAATTATAAATGATTGCTTCAGTAATTATTATAATTATACTTATTATAATTATTATTATTAAATAATTGAATTTATTGCATCAAAACCATTAAATTAAAGAATTACGAATTACGCTCAACATCAAAAACATCAAAAAGCATGAAACAAATCAGATAAAAATATCTCTTGGGCAAAAAACATACATTAAAATCACAAAAAAAGTTTTACAAATTCACCAAAAAATACAAGCATTTACAAAACGGCAAACAAGCAGTAAAATGAAACTCCAAAAGGACACAATCAAAGCTGGAACCTGTAAGTATTTGAAATCAGAATTGTCTGGAATATTCTAAGGACCTGTTTCTACTGCAAAGAAATAATAGATTAAAAATCGCTTTTTCGAAAAATCGCTTTTATTCTCGCAGTAGAAACGGGACCAGTTTGAAAAAAGCGATAAAAAAAATCGATTAAAAACATGCAATGGATAACGTGTTTGAACGGCAAATAACGATTTTGGCTGTTCACCTTTTAGCTGCAGCACAAATAAATAAAACTTCTCTCTTATTATAAGAAGCTCTAGTAGCTGATTGATTAATTAATAAACAAACCATATTTGTGAAGTGCGCCACTAATACTAAAGGAATGTACAGTACATACTGTCATTACCACTAATAGGGCATGTCATATAGATGGTGCAGTCGGTTCATGAGTTTGAATCACATGCTTGGTATGCAATTTTATTCATTTTTTTTAAAGTTTTAAGACACTTTAATTTTGTACAAGTTAACATTCTAATTATTATTTTAAGCTCTTCCAATTTTTTTCTTTTGTCAAACAGCTCTCAAATATCATAGAATGTTATATTTTAATATAAAAAAAAAAGAATCAAACACTGAGGTGCGTTTCAAAACTCACAACCTTCAGTTACTTACAACACAGCATTAACCGACTGTGACATTAATACGATGTGTCCCCCTTTAAAAAGCCAACTAAAAGTATAATATTACATTTTTAACTCTGATGGGGAGCTCTATAAACACTCAACAGATTAATTGTTTGATTGATTGAATGATTGTCTGATTCATTAATGGATCTTTATCGTATGGGTGCCTGTTAGGGTTAATATACTGTACTACAGTCTCTATTATACCGTATTCATCGGAGCTTTCGAGATTACGAGAACTTGTTTTGTTCTAAATGTACTGCACTCTCCAATAAGAGACTCTTCTACTTCAGAAACCCCCCTATTTGAGAACACTTTTTTTTCAAAGAACAAAATAACAATATTCAATCTTCTAACCCTCTAACTGCAGACCAAACACCATTTGAAACCACTCCATACTCTGGTACCAAATGTCTTGAATTGGAGGCAAACTATAACATTAAGCAAATACTGTTTGAAAGTTGGCATGGCAAAGTAATAACATATGTGTTGAAGTTTGCGGTACACCACGTAGGCAGTTCTGAAAAAAACTGTTGCAGTCGAGAAAGTCTCGACGTTTCATTATTCTTCTGAAGACAAGTGAAGTAACTTAATCGAAACGTCGAGACTTTTTTAACTACAACAGTTCTTTTCAGAACTACCTACGTGGTGTACCGCAAGCTTCAACATATATAGTAAGCAAATAATAACTCTAACATCAAGAAGTATGTAGAATTAACATGGATACTCAATGAACTATTGCTCTTATCATCACTGTGAGTCATCCAGCATTTGCCTACGAACATGATCACCATGAAAACAACCAATTATCATTGTACGTTAAATCCACTTGGTAAAACTGCTGGTACTATTTTGAGCAAACACCTTTGTTCATGACCATCACCAGAATATAGTTTTAGAATAATTTTTGATTCATTAGTAGCATTAGTAGTTAGACTGTGAACAGCCGGGGACAGCGTTCTGCAAGGTTGTACCAGTGTTATGGAACAGTTTACCGCATACACTATAGATACTGTGATTCGTACATTAGTTTTAAATGTCATCTTAAAACCTATCTTTTTCATTTAAAGTTTAATTAAAAGCTTGTTAAATGTCTGATTATCCGAATCTTGTAAAACCTTTTTTGGGTTTTTCATTATAATTGGGTATTTTCAGAATTTTCAAAATGTTTTTCTTTTTAATATTGTAGTTTTAAATCTTTTAGATCATTTTAACTACTGTAAAATGTACTGCGTCTATGAGCAATAATTATTTGGATATATGGCGCAATATAAATGCATATTATATTATAGAATATGGCTGCCCACATGGGGGGGGGGGGGGACAAGAGAGGATATTTGGGTGCTTTTTTTTAAAGAAAGGCTCCAGAGGAAATATTACCTGTAGGGAGCTTTCGATTTGTGCGACGACGCGACGCGAGAATGGAATCACTGATGCGTGACCGTCCTACGTTCTCTGCATACATAGATTTGGCCAAATTTGCGTTCCAGAATCTACTCAACAAGGTGACCTTAACATTCTCACATGCGCAGATGACTTTTAGTGACATCATTACATTCTAAGTCCTACTGTTGTCGTGATCTCAAAAGCTCCCTAAATATTTTTTATATGTATAACATACAACTGATTTTTCTATATCTATAAACATTTACCACGCTATTTCCAGCGGATTCATAGCGCCGAGTGTCAAATTCAATGTAAAAACCGTAAAAGTGTTGGATCCTAGTCTGATTTATGCAGGTTAACAGAAAATAAAAAAGAAAAAAATAAATAAACAGTTAGAACAATATAAAACAAAAACACCTTATTAAAATCTAATCTTAAAACCTAAATTAAAAAGATTTCTATACATATATATATATATACTCGAAATGTTTAATGAGATAGATTTTAAATATTTAAAAATACTCCCAGGTAAAAGAAAAAAAAAAAAAAGGTCCTGGATACATTACTTTTCCCTCAGTTTTAAATATTCTTCAAAAATCTCATCAAACCAATCCCAAGTTTTTTGAAACACACTCAGTTACAGTATACATTTTTTAATTTTTTTTTCTCCTGAGCCTGACAAGAATTTTAAAAATTAGAAAAAATACTTAGAATTATGTAACCTTTCAAAGATGCATTGTCAACTGAAAATAATAAAAAAAAAAATCATTAAAAAAATCATAATTTTGATATACAAGTTTTTGCAGTAAGATACAAATAATTAACATGTGCATAGAAAATACTGAATCTTAAAAATGTGTAGACTTATTTTTATATTATTCGGATTATGGATAATGATAAAAATAATAAGAACTTTTCTAGAGACTACAAAACAAGTGTTTCTATTATTTTTCAATGTAAAAATGGTAAACATTTTTTTAAATACACTTATTTCTATGTTCAAGGTGATAACTTTGAGACTTCAAAATGAAGTTAATTTCAAAATTTGATTTTAATGTTATTTGTAGTTTTCATGAGACAATACGTATAGGGCCTAGCACTACAGTATATGACACAAACATTTTTATCTAAAAGTGGCAGTGAACAGAATTTATTAGATATTTAAAACTTGATGATGGATAGGTTTATAATAGGTACAACAAAAACAGGAACTCTTATGCATATCATAGATTTACACATAACATTTAGATTAGATTAAACTATTATTACAGTAGCATGGCAGATCAAAGTGTACTTGCATAGGAATTGAAGAACTATTATATAAGGTCAAGGTGTACGGTAAAATATCAATAGGATACACAATTTTTAGGCCAATTGAAAAAGAAATGCACTAATGTCATGTCTCTCTGGTATTATTAGAATAATGTACTTTGCTATATCAGCAGAACTAGGTGGAGACAATACAATGCACTATAAAAAGTTTCGACTGGTTTTATACATTACTGAACTGATGGCTAAAACTGAAATTCCTTGTACTGTAGAATGGAAACTAACTTAAACACCCGCCGAAACAGTGGTATTTACAAAGAAATAACTGCAAAGATCGAAGGAAAATTTAGGGGAAAGCTGACGGTGACACAGGTCACCAATAAACTGAAGTATTTGCGCAGGGAGTACAGTACAAGTACGTGAAGCGTGGTTAGAAACGTCAATATTGTGTGGCATGATGGGATATACTATTGCCTCGCTGACCTCAAACGAGTATTTCCGAGGTAAATTTTTACATGGTTAGTCAAGATAAGTTTGTGCTCGAATGCGGGGACCCCCTGTGGTGTAAAGCCGTGCGTTTACCTATCATATACACGGAATTTAATAGGCGTGTATGGCTCGAACACACCCTTATTGACCTATTGAAATGTATTCAGGCATAAAAAAAATTGTATGGTCATTGAAACTGGGATCCATTGAACTTCCAAAGAAACAGTGGATATAGGTATTGTACTTTTATAAAGTTACATGGAAAAAATTCACCACTGAATGAATCTACTAGAAATAAATCTCATGATTTCTTTGCTTATTATTCTTGTCTCTTCATAGAGAAAACATCTAATCCAATCCAATCAAATCCAACAGTTTGAGGTGTTTTTTAACTAAGTACTTGGGCATGATGTTTTGCTTTGAATACTATCAATGAGGTAGGGTGTGACTGGAGGTGTGGGGAGGGGACAACTGAAGGGATGCAAGTATTTTTTGGAGACCTTGATTTACCTACACCCCTTAAATATGCCATTTAGGGGGTACTCAATTTATCATCCCCATCTGAATTTTTTTTTTTTTTTTTTTTTTCAAATATTATAAATGGGGGAGGGGACTGGAGGAGTGGGAGAGGGACTGAAGGGACAAGAGTATTTTTTTAGGGCTTCCTATCCCCACACACCTAAATATGCTTCTTAGTACTTAATGTATCATATCTTTTGCTAGAAACACCTCTGAAGAATTAATTGGAAATGTTTGCCATTTTTAATACATCTAAAGTGCATCGCTTACAGGGACAATTAGTTTCAGCATGCAATACAGCTGGTAATCCAAAGTGATCAGATAAATGTTGCCCTTGATATCAGGAAAACTAAAATGCTTCTTTCATAATATTCCAAGATTACAAGCAATTCCTTTGTTCAAATTTTGAGGACATGTTGATTTTAACGGGAAATCACAGTCATTCACAGGGAGGGAGGGGGGTTGAAAGAAAGTTGGAATAGCTCTTTAAAAAATAAAATCTATGGTTAGTGATCACATATTTATTTTTTTTAGATATAACAACATAAATAATAAAAATGTTTGCAACTGTAATTTTTTTTTCTTTTTTTGTTAATTCCAATTTTTCAAAACAAATAAACAAAATTATAGTAGAAATGTATTTCAATCTAATTTATATAGGCCTAGGCTAGCCTAGGAAGGCCTAGGCCTATTTTAAATTACTGATGCAAACCTTTTTGTGTTAAATATTTTAACTTGACAAAGAAGAATAAATCTTTTGAAGATTTAAAAAGCTGACTGAAGTTCTGGTTGTCCAGCAAATGTTAATTGGCCTAGTGTTCCTTTTCAAAATGGATTGTTGTGGTGGGCCTAGGCTAGGTCTTATTATATTATGCAATAATTTTTTGAATGAATGCCAATAATAAATATCAGCATTTTCTGCAACATGCAAACAATTTTAAATACATAAATAATATCAAACATGCCATAGTTCATGCTTGCATAAAATGGGAACACTTAGCCTATGCAAGCCTAACTTTGCTGGCCTCAATCTACTGTAGCTACGCTAGGTCTAGGCCCCTAGCTGGGTAGGTCCTTGCCTCATGATCCCTCACTCAGCTCTCGTCTGCCGCTTCCCCCTCCATATGACTGAATAGCTGTACTAGGGCCTAGATCTCAAAAAAAAATATTTAATAACAAAAGAAGTTGCACTTACCACTAGGTTTGAGCATTACCTCTTTAATATTCTGTTCTGACTAGAAGATCTGTTCTGACTAGCCTAGAAGAGAATGGTCAGTGCCACCTCCCTGCCACACCACTACGGTTGCAAGTCACAGTGGTCAATAGATGCTGGCAGCTAAGGTGTGGGAGGTATGGTTTTGGTTTATCTTGTTTACACACTGTGTTTGTTGCATGCACTTTGTTCAGGGACCGCCACGACAGCAAAACAATTCCATATTGTACACCAATAACAGTGTCTATTAATTAATAAATACTTGTGATATTGTGATATTATAATTATCTTAAAATTAGTGGCGGATTGAATGGGAACCTAGACGGCCCGGGACCCTCCCCCTAAATTTTTCAAAATTCAAAAAGAAAAAGGAGATATCAGGAAAATATATTCAAATTTTAAGTCTCAGATTGAGATTGTAATGTCCGGTAGTGGTGCCATAACACAAATTTTCCTACCTCAGCCCAAACCAGGGTGGGGTTGAGGTGGTATACATCCTCTATCTGTGCAGTGGCGTATCTAGGTGGGTCGAGGAAAAATACTCGCCCACCCCCAGCCGCCCCAAAAAAGCACTTGCCAAGTAGTTAAAAAAAACACATAAACTCACCTTAAAAGTTTGCGAGTTAGTGCCCCTCAATTAATCATAAGCTTCCCACTTCACCTTCACCTCCCACCCCCCATTTATCACCCCTCCCCATTTCAAGACTTCTAGATGTGCCACTGTATC